GTTTATTTCAGCCCACCATCCGTCTATCCATCTATCCATCTATCCGTCTGTCCGTCTGTCACGTTAACGTCCGCTCCAGGTGTGGCGATGACAACCCGGAAGTGTGTTGTCAACAGAGCAGGCAGCTGAAGCCAACAGTCCTCAGTCAGACACGATGTCCAACAACGATGAAGTCCGATACTGTCACAGCTTCTCCTACTGTCTCCTCAAATTCATCCTGTTCGCCTACTCCATCATCTTTTGGGTGAGTAACGTCTTTATCATCGGTCGCCGAAGAGGAGCTTGTTTGCACAGATCTCCCGGTTTGAGGCGGTGGACAGGGTGTGTAAGAGTGTTTCAACCATTGACAAACGGTGGCTGTGTGGTTTGTTGTTAAAGCTCCGTGGGTTAAATATGAATTGATCCTGTTATGGCGAGAAACAAATATGGAAAATGTAAGGTTTTAACCCCTCGGCTGTGTTCAGTTTTGTGATCTCCAGCTCTGAAGCGGCAGGTGTTGTACCTGTGGAGTAATGTTATTCTAATCGACTGTTTGTTGCAGTGTGGCCACACCCTCCCCTGTGCACCTTTACCCTACTCCTGTCCTACCTGTCTGATCCCTACTGCATAAAGAGAGCAGATACAGGGAAATAGGAAAGAGGAACTGCATCTTTTTTTTCCCACACAACCTGTTTGTGCATAGTTTGTTTGTGTCTTTCTGTGGTCAGACTGTCTCACCACAGCACGAGTCACGACTGGGTCACCACATGACAGATCAGCAACCTGTTTTCAGTAAATGACAGACAGTGAAATGACAGCATTGAGTTGGTGCAGTAGTTGTATCGTGCAGACAGTCAAATGTACCAACAAGTCTTTCTGCATGGTAGCCTCAAGTTAAGTGTAGGCATATTCAGTAAAGTTTTCAAATATATTTCTGGCAATAAACTTTTTTAATTTGAAATACTGCCATCTACTGCACGTGCCAACTTGCTCCTGGATAGTGTAAACCATAAATTACTGCAGGCGCTTGGAAGAATTATGAAAACATAAAAGAACTAATTTGGTATGTTCTCTATTAGATAATGCCAGAAGGAGTCTGTAAGTGCTTACAGTTGTGTCAGTAAGGAGCCTACAGTACATGTACGATTAGATATCTCCTAAATGAAGTGACAGAAAGCCTGGCTTTATCATTATTAGCAGCAAGCCCCTTTCTCCAAATCTAATTGTTTTTACTTGATATTCTCTTATGTTTGTGTCTTTTCTTTTAATTTGACACTTTAAAAAAAACATATTTTTCACACTGCCTATAGAGATATATCACAATCTGCACAATAATGTTACTAAAGACTGAAGGGATCTGCTGACTGACTACCTCAACCTCAACCTTAAGTGATGGGTTCTTGCTGCCTCTGCATGTCTGGATTATTCACTGGGCAATTAGTGTCCCGCAGATGTCTAGGGGCCGGGGGGGGATAGTCACTGGAATAAGCGGCTGTATTAAATCTTATTATTTTATGAAGTGGCTAAACTCTTTGTCCAACCTACTGACTTGTTAGATGAATTAGACAGTAAATGATAGATACTAAAACTACTAAAAAGCAGTCGAGGCGTCTTTATGTGAGTACCTAATATGGTATAAATTTGAGGGGTAATAGAGTCTGTTGGCAGTCTTCAGCTGTGAGGGGGCATTGCTTTGTACAATTTAGTTGGTTTAGTGCTTAAATGTGTTCTAAGATGCTGTGATTTGTCAAAAACAAGCACGAAATGCCTCAATGATTATAATTTACTCGCACCAGTTTATTTTTTAAAAGCAGTAGCTTTAAGTCAGTTTTGTTCGACACTCTGCAGCTGCTCCCTCTCACTGACAACATGACAGATTGTATATTTGTGCAGACAGATGGCTGATTGACACAACACTTACTATACAAAGAAAATCAATTATTTGTTTTGTTTTTTTCTGAGACATTTACGAAACGTTTATTCATAGAGAGAGAGAGAGAGAGAGAGAGAGAGGCAGTAATGGGATTATTATGATGAATGAATGCTGCCTTGATAGGGGAGGTGAAACAGATTAAGAAGTTGTGTTTACTCTGCTCCGACAGCTTGTTGATTTACACATGTTAAAGAAACATTCTCACTAACTGTCTGTGAAGAATGTGGTTTATCTCAGCGTGATACAGTCAAGAATAAAGAGCAGTTTGGTCACATTGTCACATCCTCCAGGAAACGTTGACGGTTGCAAATGTGCACACGCTGCATTAAAGTGGTTGCTGTTTTATTAAAATCAGCACCAACAGCTTGTTTTTATCTGATAGTGATTCATTGGGATTGTTTTGTCGCTCACATTCCTGTTTATGTTTTCAACCTCAGACCCTTTGCTTTCTGAACTATTTAACTAACTAAAAAAGGCTTTTAGTGTCTTGCTTTTTTAATATTTGTATTTATTCCTCTACTTCTTTTTTTAAAAATGACCTGTTCTTCGCACGGATTCAGTGTCCCACAGGACAGGATGTCCGTGTGCAGTGTGTCAGCCGCTGAAGACGCAAACAGCCAAGAGAAATAGCCAATGTTGGACAAACAATGTACAGGAGAAGAGTTATTTCCTGCTCATTGTGGAAAACTGTTTACAATAGTCATACAGGGGCAATGATTTATTTCCAGTGTTTTACTGTATCATAAAAGGTGTAACACAGTTGAGAAATACTAAAACCGAAACTAAAAGTAAACAAAGTATTTTTTAAGGTGATTGTTCCAAAGGTCATGTTTTATGGTATTTGAACATCATTCTGAGATAAATTGTTATGCCAGTGTATGTAGGGACCTAATGCAAACTGGAGTTGGAAGTCAGTGTATTAAATGCTGTAATCAGTTACATTTAAAGCTTTTATTTTGACAGGATTGGAAGAGTATAAAATGGTTTTGTCAGTAGTTATGATTACTATCTGTTATCTGTCACAAATTGTTCGGATTAATGTCGAAGCAACTGGAGTTTTTTGCATTTGAAGAAAACCTTGCCAGCTCTGAACTTCTTGTTCCTGTGGGTTGATTTCACTTCAGTCTTCCGTGTGAGGTTATCTGCCTTACTTAACCTTTATTTACCCAGTGAAGGTTAACTAGACCCACTTCATTTAGCAGTGGCTCACACTGATAAACACACATTGGGACTTCCCAGTTTAGCAGGGGTCTTTGACTTTTGACCACTGAGCAGTTGTAATTGCGTGTCTAGCTGGCTGACTCAACTGTTATTGTTTAAGGGAATCATTACACATTGAGTCCTCTACATTTTTTTTACTGCCATGTTATGTCTATCAAATAAACATGTTTGCTTTTTGTAAAAACCATAGGGTTTAATTGGATTTAAAGTAGTTTAAAGTCTTTAAAGTAACGTATCAAGACAATCTCCTCTATTATTTTCTGTGTAAACACAAACCAGTGTTGACCAAGCACCATTGCACAAATTGGAATGTTTCTATACTGTTCCCTCCTTTGTGCTGATGCTCAATGAACAATATGTCTGTTAAATCATTTACTAATAGGTTTCCTCCCTATTTCATCTCATATGTTATTTGTCTACTGCTTAAGCTTCCACAATATTACATGAAAGTGCCTTATTTGCCACATTAAAAGTAAAAACAGGAGCTCTGATTGGTCAACCACAATTCAGAGCCTCGCATCCGACCACATGTGAACAAAAGACAAAAGTGAACTATACGATTATTTGTCTGTCAGACTTACTTTAATTGTTAGTGTTTCACACTGACTACACATGTTTAAATTAAAAACAGATATCTTTGAATAAAAGTTGATTCCTCTTTAAATTAGTGTGCGTGCAATTGATAAGTGGCCGTCTCTAATTTAGAGAACCCATTAGTAAATTAAATAAAGTAACATTTAAAAGCTACCCATGAGACATATTTTCCCTCATTTTAATGCATATTTAACTGCCTACTTTATAATTCGTCTTTGATTGCTTTCTAATATTATATCAGTTATTCAAGTTTACCACTAACAGCCTGGTGGAAAAAATCCATAGTCCTGCAGTGAGTCCTTGTAGAAGTGTATTTTTGTCTGCAGCTTGTAGCCTAGTTTCAGGACTGTACTGTATGCCCCCACAGCAGTTAGTCAAGCACACTAATAGCACTGTGAAGTTGTTTGAACAGAGTGTAACAGATTATATAAAACAATGTAACCTTGGCCTAATGCCCTGATATTGTCACTAAGTCACAAGCAGCTAAGTGCATGCTGATAAACAGATCACTGCCTGTGTTATTATATTGTCTCAGGTATTTTTGTCAAGATTTGTTTACATGAACAAATACAATTCGCGAACCAACAAGACACTTTGTAAGGATGAAGATCACTCATGATCGTCTTTTAGAGATATTTAGAGTTTCTCAGTTTATTGCTTTGAGTGGTTTCCTCTTCTGTTGGCTGAATGGGAGTGAGTTTTGGGCGGGCGACCAGCCAGCAGCAAGATACTATAACAGAGAGCAAGCCGGGACTTGTAAGGAAAAGACATCATGGTGGATTATAAACAGTGCTCGAACCTTCAGAACTTGCAGATGACTACTAATGTAAAAACACTTCTTTTCTCTCCTTCCTCCTCGCCTCTGACATGTTGTCTGTCTTAATTTGGGAGGGCTGATCGTGGGGAGGCAGACTGCAATTAGCAACAAACGTGTCAAAGAATGAAGTGTTTGCAGATGAAACATGCTGTGATCTAACCATCCTCCAGAGCTAAGGTGTGTGCGTGTGTGTGTGTGTGTGTTTATCTGGAAGTCCTCTGTGTTTCAGGGAAAATATGGGACAGAATGTAAAAGGTTGACTCCACCATTGTAATATTTTTTTTACGGAATGGCTGCTGGTGTGGAGCGATAACCAACACTGCTAAATATGTGAAGACAACTAAATTGTATTTAACTGTTTAAAAGTGTTCGTGTCAGGATGTGTGTGTAGTTTCCAGGTAAATATATAGATGTGGGAAATTAGCGGACTCACTTGACAGCCCTTGGTTACATGAAAGATAAAAGATTATGAAAGTTACTATAAATGCATCATTAGTGTGTGGCCAGTCACTGCTTTAGATGCCTGATCACATTACAGGCCAACATTTGCTCATGTGCTATTTGGCTGTAATTGAATCCGTGCATGTGGCGATTTTAATTTTAGATTTGCCTGGAGATCATTGTGGGTACAGACCTGGTCATTTAACTTTGTTGTTATGTTGTATGTGTATTCATTTTCTGCTACATTTGTGTATATGTTCACAGGGAGAAGAAAAAGGGGGTTGCAAACTCCTTCTGTTCCTTTTCATTTCAGCCCTCACACCTCCTTCAATATCTAGAATAAGAGTAGTAACATAGTTTACTTCAAACATGCATGGTGAAGCGAACTACTATATTTGAGTTATGATACGTAAATATTCATTTTCTCTCTTTAACAAAATGAGATTGAAGACAAATTATAACTGAAAAAGATTCCTTTATTTTTTAGACAGAAATCAACATAATATTTTCTCTCATATTTTCCATATCAAATTATAGATTTTTTTTTTCCTGAGTTAAGGTATATTTCCTTTTCTTTGTAAAAGTGAATGTCAAATGTTATGTTGCTGACGGATGGGTTTGGGTTATCCTGACTAACCTTGTTTACAATGCTGTGAGCACCACAAATTATATTCTGTTCACTCTGTTGTTCTGGGTTGGCAGCACATATCACAGACACAACCAAAACTATCTGCATGGCTGCATGGATAATATTAGGGTGTAGATATGTAATTTTTTTTACTTTGTTATTTGGGTGAACTGACCTTTTAAGTGTATCTTCACTCTCATTATGTCTCTGGTAGGCATTGACAGTCACTGATTGCATAATGACCTCCTTCCAGATGCTAATTTAATGCAGATTGTAGATGCAGCTTTGATATATGTTAATGTGACGCTGAAGATATGCAGATGGATTAAGGACGGCACAAAATACTGGACTGGAGAGTCCAAATAATTTTGACTGAAGAATCCAGCCTCTGTTTCAATCAGTTCCTCCGTTGTTGTGCAGTGAACGTATACTCATGTATATCTGTCTTAATGGTAACCTCGTGTTGGCAAGGTCACAATGTGGACCTAAATGATTGACTGATCTTAGTGAATTGACCTTTTGAGAAAGGGTCAAATTAAAAGCGTTAATTTCTGTGTAATGAGCCTCCATGTGATATAGTCTTCAGTTAGCGGGGAGCGTTATGTAGCTGCTCTGCAGCCGAGGTTTTCTTCATTATTATTAAATCAGACCAGTACCCCTATTAAATGGAGACCTTAATGTTCAATCACTTGTGCTTGACCTGTTCACATATGTATAATTTTAATTCTTTAGCATCTATACAGTAACTGTATATTACAGTGAAATATCTCTAGTTTTAATATCTAGTTTATAGTTATAATTATATTTAACCCCTTTAATGTGAGGTTTGTTGACCTTTTCTCAGAACTTCTAAGTTGTTCTTTCTTCTTTTTTCTGTTGCAAAAACAATTCTGATGACATTTGGACACAAAATAAAAGACATAGCCTAGTTTCTACCGGTTGCCATATTGCTAAAGTGATTTATAAAAGAATGATGTAGTTTTTTTTTTCTTTCATTTTGATGTTTCGTACTGCTCTTATGGTGTAAATAAACTTTCAGGTATTCTCTGAAGTATAGAGATATTTCTTTCTCCTCTGTGATATTGTGGCTTCACAGCAAGAGTCTCCAGTCATCCATCTGTAATTATATAATACACACTTGTCCTGTTTGTATATAAAACTAAGATAGATGAAAAGAGAAAAAATCACAACGAGGTGTGTGTGTGTGTGTGTGTG